ACACACACTCCAAACATGCACTCAGGTGCACACACACCTTTTGCCATTATCAGTCATTGTCCCTAAGCTTTGCCCTCACCTCATAGATGTAGTCCTGCAAACACTGTCCCCTAGTTAGCAAATGTGCAGATCTTTTTGCTCTATCTCTATGAAATATGCTGACTGTATACAGTTTTCTTACACCCCTAGCACCATCAACCGGTGTCTACAGCAGACTCAAATAAGGCATCCTAGAACATGCATTTCCCTCATGGAGAGGTGTTTGGGTTAGCGAGCAGACAGGCGGGCTCTATCAGCGAAACAGAGCTCAGAGGTTCTAGTTGGGTGACACTCATGTGGGTAAGGCTGGTTTGACACACACACACACACACACACACACACACACACACACACACACACACACTGTTTCTTGTTCCCATTTTATTATTATTTTCAATTTATGCCCTTTCTTTTTATCTCTTTGTGCCTTTCTTTTGCTCTCTTGCAGTCTCTTTTTCTGTCTGTTTTTTTTTTTCAAACACGCACATGCGCAGACGAGCCTCCCGAGCGAGTTTGTGCACTGGGTATTAAAGAATGCTCTTTGAGAATGAGGGATGAAAAGGAGAGAGTCAGAGGGAGAAAAAGAGGCTCCTGGTTTTAATGTCCGGAATACAACAGTAGCAGTAGGTGAGGGGGGGGAGAGAACTAGAAAGAAAAAAGAGGACAGGAGAGAGAGAGGATCCAGCTGGTTCCTTTCATAATAAGGGGCACCAGCTTGTGTGTGTAGGTGTGTGTGTATTGAAGAGAAAATGGGGGGGGGGAGAAGAGAAAGAGATGCAGGCAGTAAGAAGAGTAATAAAAAGCAGACACACAGAGAGTATTGAAGATGGTTTCACATTAACTTTTCAGGAGATGTGGGACTGACACGATTCTCTGGCTCTCTTCTACTCTACCACGCTGCTTTGAATGCAGTCTTGGATCTTTTTTTTTTCTGCACACACTGTACTTAACCGAAGCTTTTTGGGGTGCTTCTGCTGCTCATAAATATCCCATGCATTATAGATTTACTGTAGGAGTGTGTGTGTGTGTGTTTGTGTGTGTGTGTGTGTGTGTGTGCAGGTCACAGTCTGACCGTCTCGTTCCCATCTGTCTTTCCACCCGGTCATGCACCCCATCACACACCACCTCACACACACTTTCCCTCTCTTTGGTTTAAATCCGATTAGCTGGCCTGCGTCAGCTAACGAGACCCCCATGAAGCTGGACCCCCACCCACCCGGACTCTCCCACCTCTCTTTCTCTCTCTCTTTCTCTCTCTCGAACACACAAAGTGACCGCCAGCAGCCTGTGTCTCTAAGCACACAATCACACACCCTCAGAAACACACACACGCTTGGATTGGACAGAGGACTCCCTAATTATGCCTTAATTGTCTGTCTCTGTCCCAGCAGCTGCCTCGTGTGTTAAGACACAGAGCAGCGGCTTGACTGATCACTCTGGACCAAAAACATATTGTGAACGACACTAAAATATGTGTGTGAGAGGGTGAAAAGGGTTAGGACAATAAAATTAAATGAGAGCTAGGGAGAGGAGAAACATTTGGTACAGATGGCCGGCCTCATTGTGTTCGCCGACAGTAGCTCTGTTTACATGACTGTTGTTCTAATAAAAACAAGTTAGTCCACTACTTAATTATGTAAAGATACAGAAAACTTCCAAGCATCCTCAGTAGATCGTTTTTGTCTGTGACTTATATTCACACATTCACACAGTCTGTCTTGGCTGATAGCAGTCGACTTCTATTCCCCCATAAGAGGCTAAATTTGGGCTCGCAGCTGCTCTAAAAGTGACGATTCAGCAGATTTCATTATATTCCATTATGCTGGCAAATTAGTGTCAGAGACTGAAAAATGAGCACAAAATGACACAATAAGAACACACAGCTGTTTCCACAGGAAGTGAATGCGATCTGTATTCAGTGACCTCCTACACAGCTAAAAATAAGCAGTCAGTAGATTTATTTCTCTCCATGGCTTTGTCTTCTACACTTCCTAATGTTTCACTTTTATTGTCTCTAAGTTAACTGTGTTGCTGTAGTTTGGCACAACAGTATTAAGCAAACTTCAAATATTAGCATGCTAGCTTGCTAAGTCTGTGTCTAAAGAGGATGCAACAAAATCTTGATTCCATTGTTTCCTATTTGAGCATCCTAACAGCCCGCGAGCGCCAGGCAATGCGTAGCATCGATTTATCTTGAGACCAGGTTTCTATTTTCATTCCTGTCACTCACATAGTCAAATGAAGAGGAATGATGGCGCTTGACAAGGCGCTGGGAGTCCTGATTTTTCCAGATTTTCTCGCTCAACATACCTTGTTAGCTTGTTTTAAAAGCGTTAGCGGCTTATCAATACAAAGCATCGCACTTCAGTGTCCCCCACCTTCAAAACGACAGCACTACTGTAAATGTCATATACTGTTTGAACGGGGACACTGAAATTCACAGCGCAGAAAAATTAACAGTTGGATACCTTGGATTCCTTGAATACCTCGGACAGCGAGGGGAATTTGGCTGTGTGATGGGAAGGGATATCTAATGCTCTTGTGCTTTTAGGACACTCTGTAACAGTGTAAATGTTAGCATACAGATTTTTAGCATGCAATATTTTTACAGAATTAGGCTACAATCTCACTATAGCTTGTTAGCATGCTAAAATGTGCCTAGGCTAGTTGTACTAACAAAAACGTTATCTTGTAAGCGTGCTTAATTTGCCATTAAAGAACAGCTGAGATCTGATGGAAACATTGCTGTTCTTTAGCCAATGCATGTAGCGTTATCGAGCTATGACGAAACAGTCTGGGGATTAATAAAGCTGTTAAAAATGATTCTATGAGTATTGGTACAAAATTCTTGGAAAAACATCCATTTTCTCTTTTCGATATTTCAGGCTGTATCAGAGAAAGAGACCAATTGCCAAGTGACTGACCACCTGTTCTGTAGAAATGCCAAACCTGCTCAAAAACATGCTGCAATGCATACTGGATTCATTTTGCATCTTTATATCTGAAATTCATGTTGTTTTTAAAACCCAAAACTAGAGTTAAAATTCAAGTTCTCCCTGCATGTGCCAGGAAGTCCTTTGATTTAATGTGGTATGTAGTGTGTATTTTTCCCATGCACCACTTAACGAAACTCTTAAATCCTGAGTGCTGCCTAAAAGCACGGCGCTCGGTTTACTCACACATTCTTGTATGTTTGCTCGTCTGTCTGCTCTTTGGATTGGCGCAGAAACAGAGGCAGATTTTCTTTCGGGCTACTACATCCCTCTTACAAAGTTGGAACATGAAACTCGGTTTGTAAAACTAATGTTGTTTTGCCTCAGAGCTACTGAGCTAATGGAACAAAATATTTAGACAACGAGAGGGGGAGACTGGATAGGGATGAAGACGGCAAAATGAAATGAAATCGAGGAGCAGGGTAAGAATTGAGACAAGGGAAGTGAATAAGTATTGAAAGAGGAAGTGAAAGAACACAGAAGTGGGGAGAGACATGAGGTCTTTTCATCAAATGTCAACGCTTAGCCAACCCATGACCTCAGTGTGGTTTGTGGGTCAATCACAGCATCTGACCCTGGTGAGAAGTGTCTCAATAACACACATACACACCACTGTGTGTAATTTTTGACAGCTTTCCTATTATCTCCCCTATATGTACCCTTTGCCCTCTCTTCCGTCCACCCTGGGCTCTCTTTCTTCCTCGCAGCACAGTGATAACAAGGCGGTCATCCCCTGGCTCTGCTCCTCTCCCTCTCTATCTCGCTCTCTCTCTCTCAAGACGTTTTGAGCAAACAGCCTTTCATCTTCCCCGTCTTCATTTCCCTGCACTGTTATTAATACCAGCCTGTCAAACAAAATAGGATTCCCCAAAGTCCGTCGTCTCTCCCCTCTTGGCTGTATTGCACAACAAATAAATTATTGAAGCGTAGATTTTGTAGTCCAGAAGTTGATACCATGATTAATTCATGTTAGCGTACAGGGCTGGCTCGTTCATTAGCAGAGTACTGTGTATATCTAGGATTTAAATATTTAAAAAAAAGTGTAGATCTTTTGCTTTTGAATCTTACTTACTAAGCTGAATGTTTGGACTTTTTGCAGGATAGAAACATTTTGTATTTTACTCTCTCTTATCATGTTCATCCATTATTTACTCGACAAAAAAATTTGTGGTTTATTTCTGAGATAGCATTTAAGATAATAGACAGAAATCACAGGGATATGGGATTTTAGCTACTATGTTGTCCTACTTTGGCAAGCACTATGTTTTGAATAAGCTTGCTAAATAGTATAGTATAACCCCTCTTGCAGATACAACTCCGTCCTTTCCTGGCATTCCTTTTCCACACATTGCAGCCGCACACCAACACAGTGAACTCCACACAAGCCTTCATGTGTTACTGTAATGTGTGATTTATGGCATTGCATGTGCTGCAGTGACTTCATTAGCAGAAATGGAACTCCTGCCCCTCCCCGCCCCTCCTGCGTTTCTCCTCTGTAATATAATCTCCTTGTCACGTTGTTTCTTTCAAACTACATGTACAGAAAGTTAGAGCTTCCTATCCCCACAGGATCCAGTTTGGATCCAGTCTGTGCCCTAGCTACTTCTCGCCCATTGATATCTGGGACACTATGTGCATCCTAATGTGTCTGTTGAATGGAGAACACTGACAGTGACTGACTCGGGGGGGCCCTTAACAGTTTTCACTGCAGTTCAAACACCTTTTAAGGGAATACTAACACTTGTAGCTAGCTACTTTAGCAGATAGTGTCAGATGTAGTTAGAACTGAGAGCCAAAAAAACATATCAAAGCAACTTTCGTAGTGAGTGGAATCGATGCCCTGTGGTCAATTTAAATATTCTACACCCATATAACCTCCAAGACCTTACTGCCAGAACTTGTGGATTCCTGTATCTGAGTCTTAAAAACTAATCTGTCTCTCTGTTTTTGTGTGTGTTTTCTTTACAGTTTGTAGTGGGACTGTTACAGTGAATGTGAATGCCAAAGTGGAAGTCCTTAAAGGAGAGACTGCCAAACTTCCCTGCACCTACACAGGGTCATCATCAAGCAACACAGTTGTTGAATGGTTCATTGTAAGTCATCTTTACATTTATTTCTGTAACGGTTTTTGAATATGTTATGTTTTTGAATATGTTATGTCTGCAGTTAGCAACCTCAGGTCAAAGGTCTGTGAGTTTTTCATTTTTTTAACTTCTACTCGTGTTTATCCTGTCCTCTTCTCTGCATCTCCCATCCGTGCATCCCTTCAGGAGGAGCAGGACACCAGGAAGCGTGTAGCTTTCCACTCTCAGGGTGGTGAAGGAAAAAGTGACGATGGCACCCCTCTGACCGGACGCGTCACAATCGGAGCGGACTCCACCTTGACCATCTCGTCAGTTCAACCCTCCGACGAGCTCGTCTTCTACTGCCAGGTCACCGCCGGCTCTGCTGGGGTTGGAGAAGCCGCCACTATGCTCAAAGTGTTCTGTGAGTCTTCAATTGCCCTTTGGCCTTTTTATATGACTTTAAGTGACCTTTTCAAAGAGACCCCCCTCCCCACTTTCCCATCAGTTGGTGATGTGTGGAATTTATGACTTGTTTGTTGCTGTCAACGCGGTTAACGGTTTATGGCTTTAATCAGAACTGTGTGTGTGTGTGTGTGTGTCACGCATACTTTCATTTAGCAGTGGCTTAATTGTACCTAATGCAATGTAATGCATTTTGCTGATTGCATTTCAAACATACTTTAAATAACTCCATGTAAAACCTCTTTGGAGATAAAGATTTAGTATCATTAAGTATGATTAGCCACAATTTTCTACATTTCAAAAAGCATACAGGAGACTTAAACTACTATTTTTCCATCGTGTGCAGGATTTTGGAGCCTTTTTTTCAGCCACTGGGATAACCAATTCCCCAGAGGTCAATTAACCACAATCTAATCAATCTTGACACAATTGATAAATACTTCAATCCCACCTGTCATGTCTCATATATATCACTTTAATAACAGTCTAGATTTATCACCAATGGCGCTGAAGGGGCTGACCCTTGGTGCAGGCTGCTGTGTCCTTGCCCTTTCCACAGCAAACCCCTTAGCAAACGTTCATTATACTTCAAACATTTGCTTTGCCAACCATAGTGAATCCAATCATTTGCATTTGGGATTTGACTGATCGATCACTCCGTAGAGAGGAAGTTTGTTTCAAGAGAAAAGCAACAAAACAAAAAAAAACATTCTTTGGTCAAGCGTCCACTTGAAACAGAGCTCACAAGCTATTCATTAACGTTTACACACTCCAAGGCTCTGAGGTTTAAAGCTCTCTCATAAAATGAGCTATTAATCGTGAATGGAGCCAGTCAGTGGTAGACAATACCTCAAAGCAGTGCTGTTTAACAAAGGCCTTTTTGGATGCACTTAATGCCCACAGATGTAAGAAAACAAGCTGTCTCACAAACCAGGAGTTATTCTTCGTCCACAATGGACCACTTGACTCATTTGGGGGATGAATGATAGTGCGTCTGTTCTGCTTTAACTTAACATGGGTGAGTTATGAGGTCTCTTGAGGGTCTGCCTGGGTGCTCTTCATCAGAAAAAATACATTAGATAGTACACACAGTATGACTACTTTAAAGAAACCCAATGTAACAGAATAAAAAAACTGTTTAAAGGAGAATATTTTGTCATTTTTAGAGTGTTTAGCCTCAAGAAAACAGCTTTGATTAGTCCCAGATATTTACTCTACGTCTAAATTACTTTGCATAAATGGATTTCACAGTTTAAAGAAGAGAATGGCTATAAAAAAAAACTAGCTTCAGCTGTTTTGGGAGCTGCAACAAACAAAGGCAAAAACAAAACAGAAATTGAGCAAGCTAGACGGAGAGAGGAATACCCATCTACTGTTTATTTTTATAAGCAGCCGACAGCTGCAGGCGGTGATAAGACGACCTTGCATGTGAACAAGTGAGTGAGGGGAACAAAGTAGAGAAAAGAGAGGGAACACTCACACCTGTGTGTGTGTGTGTGTGTGTGTGTGTGTGTGTGTGTGTGTGTGTGTGTGTGCGTGCGTGTGTGTGTTCGTGCGTGCGCGCGTGCATGTGTGTGTAAGCCAGAGAGGAGGTAGCGCTGTTTTTGCTTCTATTTTTTTGTTGTTATTTGACCCTTATCAGCTCATGTGAACCGGGTCACAGTGGAATACTGTGGAGCAGAATATTTACTGCTCCACTTAATTAGCAAGGTCAGCAGGCATGTGGGATGGTCTGCATGTGTGGAAGCGGAGTGTGTGAGTTTGTGCATGACTCCATGTTAAAGGTGTTCCTTCCAGTGAATCATAATGATATAATAATGATTTCCCCCTGCCCCCCTCCCTTCCTCCCTCCCTTTTCCTGCCTCAGTTGCTCCAGAGAAGCCTGAACTCACAAGGCCATCGAGTCAGGCCATCACTGCAGGAGAGACTACCAGCTCTGAGGTGTGCAGAAAACCTTAAGTGACAGTGTTTACAACCTTCATGTTTTCTGATTTTTATTGAGGCAGTGAAAACAAGTTTTTTAAAATTGGCTTCCGTTTGTCCACATATTTCAGATCGGTACCTGTGTGTCAAAAAATGGACATCCACAGCCAAGAATCATTTGGTTCAAGGATGGTCTGCCCCTGGCTGAAATCAAGGACAGGAAAGAGAGTACGGCTGTTTGTTTTAATTTCATGTAAAATCAAAATGTGATGAATGCAATTCCAATCAGAAGATAATCTGTATGCTTTGGCTCTTCCTTCCTCAATCCCTACTCTCTTTTAGAGACCTACATGATTCCCTCTGTAGTAAAGGAGGCCTCCGGTCTCTTGACCATCAAGAGCACCCTGTACATGCAGCCGACAAAAGCGGACAAAGACTCTGTGTTCCAGTGCACCGTGGAGTACAGCATGCTGGAAGGCCAGAACAAACAGAAGAAGTCAGACACCATCACAATTAATCTCAACTGTGAGTGGAGGGGGTGGGACATGAGTTTGGGTTTGTGGGTCCACAGGTACTGGTAGGCTGATATTGCTACTTCTGGACAGACCCAGGCTAACTGTCTCCACGTGTTTTCAGTCTTTATGCAAAGCTAAGCTACCTGCAGGCAGTAGCTGTATATTTGGATTTGTTGATCTTCTCATCCAATTCTTGTCAAGACATTGCACTCAAATTTCAGGGACTTCAAACTGCAAGCTAGCCCCGTTGTCATCAAGGAACAGTTTGCTCTCAGAATTGTTTACAGTCTGCTGCTACAGGTGTAGGTGACCCAGACCGGGCTGATACAGGGTTGATGAGAAAAAGGGACAGATCATTGAGAAATCATAAAAATAATAATTTTCCTGATGTGCAGCGTCACTTTCCAAGCCTCCAGTTCACAATATTTTTTGCTGTTGTGTGTTTATCTGATCTGCTGTATTACTTCACAAGTCAATGAGCTATGACTGTGCAGGTATGTAAACCCTCACATGACCTGCACAAATGAATCATTAGTTCAAACCATGAAGATATGGTGGGACACTTTACACAGTGGGTATAACGTTTACAGCATTAGCATTTAGCATGCTAAAATGAGCAAATTGATAAACAGTACAAAGTCGGAATGTCATTACAACCACTAAGCCTTAGCATGGCTTAAAAGGCTGAAGACCTTTGATCTGCTTTAACAATTTATGTATGCATCTGTAAGACACTCTTCAATCGCCTCTTTTAGAATTTGATGTGGTAAACAAGCAGCTATCAGTGCTATCTCCCCTTCATGGATCTATTTCATATGTTACATGTTACATATCTTTAGTCAGCTAAAATGAGCTAAGGAAAATGATGGGAGTACAAAAACGACTGTATTCCTCTGGAATGTATTGCACATCTCTCATTGATGACACGCAGTATGACAGAGTAAATGTATTTTCACCTGTTTCATGTCTGTGCTCATCCATCTAGATCCCTCTGAGAAGGCGACCTTTTCCCTCCTCAGCACTGGTCCTGTCAAAGAGGGCGACTCTGTAACCATGAAGTGTGAGACTGATGGAAACCCTCAGCCAGAGTTTGACTTCACTAAAGATGTATGCTTGCGTTTCATGTTAATGTTTTCATGTGTTTTATAGACAGAGACACATCCTTATTCTGCTGTTTTCGTCTCTAGAACCTTTAAAAAATAAAATAAAATAAAATTTGTAGCTCTCCCACTCAGTTTTTCCTCTCTCCTCCTCCTTCTCCTCCAGGGTAAAGCAGTCAGCGGAGAGGGTGGTCTTCTAAAAATCAAATCTGTCAAACGCTCAGACGATGGCGTGTACATGTGCACAGCGACAGATTTCGACAACCTGGAGGCTGACCTCACTGGAACTATCACCCTCACTGTCAATTGTGAGTCTGCCAAACAAAAAACTCAGACCGACACACAAAATTGCAGATGAAAGTAAAGACACAAGTCGAGTTTCCCATTTTGTTGTAAAAAATGTTTTTAATTGTGAATCAAAGAACGAACACGGGGAAAAAAGGGAATTAAGTTTAAATGGAATCCTTTCAGGAGGCCGAAATCCAATTCAATTTTTCACAGTTCATTTCTTTCTTTAATGTTTTCCCAACTGCTCTCTCTAATTTGATCTTATCACACACATAACATGGGGATGTACTACAAGTAGCATGGATCAGGCTTAGCTTGGCCTTAGAAATAGGCTTAACTTCAGGGAAGTGCATTAGCTTTTTACTTGCAATAAGAGCAAACTATTCAGCTGAGTACGGCTGTCCTAACCATCTTATTACATGGTTGTTAAAGAGATGAGAAGCTCTTTGATCGAAAAGAGAAACTTCCTGGAAGTCCCTCCAGATGTATTGAAAGACTGAAGTTTCATGTACCTGTCTCTGTTTCTTCGCTGTCAGATATCGACCCAGTGAGAGTGAGCCCTGCCGAGTCTCAGGTCGTCATGCTTGGAGAAAAGGTGCAGTGGATGTGTACGACCAAGGGCTCTGCCACGCACACCGTTCAATGGAAGAAGGTATGCTCAATCACTTTTCCTTATCTTCACTCCCTTTTCCTTTTCACTTTGATGGGAAAGTGGTCTATTTTTAAGAATGTATGCATGGAATTCTTTCTGAGCATTCCAAGATAACAGTTATTTTAAAAAGCAAACCCATCATTCCTACATATAAACACAACTATCTTGTTGATGTCTAAGACAGATAAATAACAAGAATGAAGTCCCTCCTGCAGCTCCTCATTTGGACATTATGTGATTCTGGTTTGGCTTCAACACTGATAGTTTTATCTACATTTCTTTTCCTCACTGGATAAGGTGAACTATCATACAGTAACTTTGTGTGCAGCTGTTGTCCGACACTGCAGCCTTTTAACACAACAATCCTTCTTAAGACAGTTGTGGCCTATAGACAGAGGCTGCGTTGTGTTGTGTCCAATTGCAGCAACTGCCGTCAGACATGGCTGTTTGTTCCATTTTAAGAGGAAGTAAAGCAAAACACCAAGGCAAATTATACTGTTATTACACTGTTACACTGTTATTTATGATATTTTATCCTATGCTAATGACTTATCATGAAATGAATCATAAACCTTTAGAACTGTCAAACAAGTTCAGTAGAAATTAAGCCAATGCAGGAGTGCAAAAAAAGCTACAGTTCCTTGAGTGTCCACTTGAGGCTGTTTCCAAAAGTCAAGGAATCCCCATTAGGGTCCATATTAAAATGTCAATTTTTATAAAAGAAATAAACATGTTTGCAGCCTGATCTAAATGACCAAATGCACAGCCAACCTTCATTCTCTGGTGCCGCTCAGTTGCAGGAACATACAATGAAAAATAACTCAGTAGTCCATGTCGCACTCAGATACGAACCCGAGGAAGCTAAAGGCAAAACTTGTTGTTAGCTCACAATAAGGTGACAGTAAAACCCTTTTCACACATACAGAAATCTCTGAAAAAACTCCGGAGATTAGGCTACCCGGAGGGACTTCAGGGTATATGTGAACGCGAACAGCCGAATTTTTCGCGCAGATTTTTACCCGGAGTTTATCCTGCCGGACCCCTAGTATTTTATCTGCAGAAAGTCCAAGTGAGCTGATGTGAGAACGCAGCTGCACATACTCTGGAGGATTCACCTCGAGCTCACCTCGAGCCAATGGGACCCAGTGACGTTTATATACAGTGACTGCTGCACGGTGCATTAAGTGTCTGCACGCGATCACTACGATCTCCGTGCACGTAATTAAACAGCCGCTTTATGTTTTCTGTTTGTCAGTATGTTGTTCTCCGCTCTCTTGTGGATGTTCATGGATGGATGTGGATGTTGCTCATTCCATTGGATTACACATAGCATTGATATAAAGGCAAATATTCTCATTATAGCGTCGTGTAGCGGACGCTGTTGCGACGGCCGCTACTTGTTTTTTTACGTCACGTCTTACCTTGTGTAGCGGTTGTGTACTCTCTCTTGCGTTGTGTGATGAATCAGGCAAACACTTTCACTTGGCACCAGCACGCCGTTTAATCACGGAGACAGCATCGTGCAGACTGGCAAAGATACACGGGCTGCACCGCTTAAGTCTGCAGGGGCACCAGCAGAGGGCGCTCATGTTACACAGAGTCCCAGTGGATACTCATTAGAATGAATTATAAACAGTATTTAAACAATAAAAACAGTCAAATAAAGACATTCTATTCCAAGTAATGGCAAGTGGAATCATTAACTCCGTTGCACCCCCCCTTCCCTCTGACAGGGATAGTCCCCCGCTGTGAGGAGCATATGTGAACGGCTAGGTTGGGAGAATCTCCGGGTCAGGCCTCCTGTAATTATCTAGATATTATCCGGAGTGCATATGTGAAAACGGCTTAAAGTAATTTTCAGAGACCACTAATTTGTGTTTAAAAGGTGGCGTTTCTAGATTGACAATCGTTGTCGTTGTTCCAATATGGTGGCCGCTATTGGTGGGCCTCATTACACCCCTTTAGAAACCAATGACTGAAGGCCTTAGACTATGCCCATCTTTTATAAAATCTATGGTTATGAATGATTTCAGTCTAACAGTAGCAGCAGAACTCTTTTGTGTGACTCAAAACCTTTAAAATTTGCTGGATTGTTAAAAAATAAAAGATGAATTCAACTATTTTGAGTTTTTATACTGTACATAGCTAGTTAAAACTAATATTTCATTACAACAAAAAGCCCTCTTGGTTTGTATTTTCTGTGGACAAAACATAAAATATGAATCCATTTTCTCCAGTTAGCATACAGTACCAAAGAAAAGACGATTTGTTTACTCTTGTAGTCTTTTTGTAGAGACTCAGTACTCTGACACTGGAGAAATAGTTGATTGTTTTGATATTTGTCTTTATCTCTTCTCCTCCTCTTGTTATGTGCAGAGTGTTCCTCCAGTGTCAGGCCTGTTGTTGTAGCCTGTGTATCTATTGTTGTGTCTCCTGCGGGTGATAGAAACTCACCGGCTGCTGGTTTTCTTGGTAGAGATTGTCTTTGTTCTCAGTAAGACCAATTCCTATGAGAAGAATATGAGAGGAATTGTAAGAGACAGGTTCATCATGGCCGACTGACTCTGATTTGTTATCACAGTGTTTCTGAACAGTGTGTGTGTGTGTGTGTGTGTGTGTGTGAAGGCTGTGTTTCTGCTTTCCCAGCATAGCACACACTTCAAAACAGATTTAAAACGTTTCTTCTGCTCTCATGTTTACACACAGAAAGAGCAAGAGAGAATAGAAGGATGAGTCTAAATGTGTGTATGTGTGCGTCTGTGTGTTCCTCCAGGGCTCAGAGGTGCTCTCTCAGGACGGCCTGCTGTCCATACAAGATGTTTCCTATGATAAAGCTGGAGAGTACATGTGTGTCGGAGCCGTACCATCCGTGCCAGGGCTGACATCTCAGGCTAGTGTCAACCTCACTGTCAAAGGTAACACACTCGTAAAAACATGTACACACAGACTCATTGACCCACATGCAGAGCACACCTCAGGAAAACCAAAAAAACTGACTTTAGAAAACGATTCAATCACGCCAAAATCTGCTTTGTTACATTTTAATTTTACTCTTGAAATAATAAACAACAATTGGTGTCAGGGTGTGTGCTGGGTATTGTTTCAGTCAGAGGAAGGAGGTTGAGTAGTGAGTGGATCCAACTGGTTGAAGGTGTGGTTTCCTGCATTCAATATGGGGTTGATCTATATCTACTGCACTATGTACTGTAAATGCACTAAATTTAAAAGTGTACGTTTCTGATCATTTAAATTCATTCAACTTCAAATATTTTATGAATATTTAAAACCAGTTTAAAACATAAGAATGCATTCTTCAGAGGAATAGACTGCTGGAAGATTTTTGAACAATATAAGCATACAAGTAGACTTCCCAGCATGCACTGTTTGAGAGTTGTTTTTTGCACATTGAAGATAGCAGAAAGGCGGGGGGGGGGTCTTTTCTGTATTTTATACAAGTTAAGCACATTTTACTTTAACATGCCAGATGCTGATTTAACTTTACAAGTTTTGTGAATGTAAGCCTGGATGTTTAATATTTCTATCACTAAAGATGACTTCTTCAACTGTTTCTCATTTCTTTAAGAGCAAGGGCGTTCATTTTATGAAGTTGAAATAGCCTGAAACAAATTGACAGTGTTTGAATAAGTGCTTTCTCACTCTCTTTCCAGGAAAGCCAATGATTGAGACCCCCGCTGTCGGAGAGGTGGGGAAGGAAGGAGACATGGTGACTCTGAAGTGCTCTGCCTATGGATCCCCTGCCCCTCAGTTCACCTGGAAGCCCTCAGGAAAACAAGTACGGCTGTGAAAACAAGCAAGACTAGCCAAGATAAAGACAAAACATATTATTACCTGATCTATTTCCTTTCATTGATTACAATTTACAGGAGTCGCTCTGTAAACACATGTAATTGCTACTTCCTAAAGTATTGAATGAAACACACATTTAACTGTATATACAGAAGTGAAGTTGAATTCCAAACAAACATAACTGCTGCTAAAATTGGGGTTGACTTTTTTGAAGTTTGAGGATTTGTCACGGCATCTGAATATCTATCTCTTGGTAGGCTGGCATATTAAACTTCAAAAGAAAGAAGTAAAGCTTCTTGCTGTGCAACAGAAAGTATTATTTACCCTAAATCTCATATTGATGTGATATGGTTGAAAAGAAAATTCCCTATGAAGACGCTACAGTGGGAACAGAGCTTTGAAATATACATTTTACTTGGGGAAAAAAGTGAAAATGAAAATATAACTTTGAAGATTCTGGTGGAAAAAAAAATCAGATAATTTCAGGAGCAAAGTGGCATGTATGTAAGATGAAAGTTCAGATATATTTAATCTTGCATGACTTAGAATTTCCAAAGAGCAGGTGTCAATGTATTAATGGGAATCATGAGCTCAAGTGTGGAATAACAGTCTCTTTAAAGTGACAACAATGATGGGAGTCAGACTTAAAAATCCCTGCAAAAAGTGTCAAATATACGCTAAAGATGATGAAGAACTATGTTGAAATTCACGTCACATTTTTCCTCCTTCCAATTCCAGTCCGTGTCAGTGGAAGGTAACAAGGTGGTGAGCACTGTGAGCCTACAAGCCACAGCCGAGGTCATGAAGGACGGGGTGACCTGCGAGGCCTCCAACACGCACGGAACAGATAGCAAGGCCTTCCTGGTATCTCTCAAACGAGGTCAGTTTCTGTAGATGACAGGAAAGATGAGGCTTCCTTATCTCGCCCTCTCCTTCACCTTTTTGTTTTATTCGCTGTCGGCTTTTGATGTTCATGTACAGAAATGTGTTTTGGCTTTGAGCCCATGAATTACATTTGATTTGAAGATGACAAGAATTGTGATTTTAGAACTTACTGATTTTTGAAGGTTGTAACTCACCCCGCCTGTCAGTGTTTGCATAGTGGAGACACAAAAATTAGTTCTACTAGCCTATATAGAGTTTGTCACTTATTTCAAAACCTTGAAGCTGCCAGGTGTGACATTTGTGAAGCTAACTAAGCTAAAAACGTCTGTTAACTTAAAATTACATGTTCGGAGAATTAAAAAAATATAGCATTTGGCCAGCAGACCTGAACTTGAAACTTGATAAAATGCAAAAGAACAATTTTAGAATATACTTGTATCTCAAAGTAAGTTATTCCAATAACAGTAGCAATAATTAATCACAGCTAGGTTAGCATTAGCATAAAATAGCCTCAAAGGCTAAACTGTGAATGTTAAACTTACATAGCTCTCCACATAAGGAGAAATAAGAAAGAAAAAATCACTACCTGGCAGTTTTCAGGTAAATGTACTACAATATTTGCCCCCTGGCTGTGCAATTCCTTCAAGTTATGCTATGGCTAATGTTGCTAAGTTCCTGTTTTGACTAAGCAGTGCTGAAGGCATGTCCTGGCAACTTATATATAGTACATGTTCAGCTTTTTAAGTCGCTTCTAAAAAGCTAAGCTTAAGGTTTAACAGTTTAATCAGATTTTGTTAGACCTAGCTTAGCACTAGTTTGTTGGCTACCAGCTAAAAACTAAGAACTTCAAAAGGACTTTCAGCTGACACAAGTTTCTTTTGCTTTTTCACTCGCACTGAGCCTGTACTCTAAACGCTATCTTCTTTCGCTAACTCTATCACTTGGAAATCATTGTAAACAAAATTTGGATTAACATGTACCGAATGCAAAGAAATACAGTTTTATATGCGCTTTAACTAGCACATTATCATGCAAGCTAAAACCTGCTTTCCCCCTCTGTTCTTTTCCCTTGCAGCAATTGACAACTCAGCCGACAGAGGTAGAGCCTTCTCCCTTCTCCTCCTCCTCTCCTCCCTTCTTCTCTCAGGACTCTTTTATGTACAGACCCTTTAATTTAGAAAATCCCCCCCCCCCCATCCACCCATCTCCTTTTGCATTGGCCCCTCATCATACACAAACAAAATACACACAAACATACACACACACACACATCTCCCTCTGCTGTACTGTAATCTTGTATATTTGCCCTCTTGCTACCAAACACTGTGGATATTGTATATTGTTATTCTTCTTCTCTTGTCACCTTTGTATGATGTCTGTCCTATATTTTGTGGATGCTACTACAACTTTTTGTGGCCCCTAGGGGACAATAAAGGATTCTATTCTATTCTATTCCTTCCTTTCTTCTCTTTGCTTCCTCACTGTGTCTCCTTTTTAGTCACCTCTTCTTTCCGACTGCCTTCTTGTTTCTCGCTTTACCTTTATCGTTGTTTCCTCTCGTCGGGGTGCTGTGTGTGAGATATCCTAACCTTAGCTTTTGTGTGCATATGCTCTCAGTGAAATGTGTGCGGTGAAAGTTGCTTTGCCTTGCTATGCTACTCAGACTGAGAAACTCTCTTTCTCTCAAAGTGCTGCTCTCTGGAAACCCTGTGCTTACGTCAGGTCTGTATCGCTAACGCTCTTGACATGTGTATGGCGTCTGTCTACAACTGTAAGTCAGTGTGTGTATTGATGTCTGTGTGCACACACAGGTGAATGTATTTGTGTTTAAAAGAGCTAGTGTTTGTGTATCTGTACTTGTATCACTCTAGCTGAGAGGAGAGACTTAAGCTTATATTGGTTTAGGAAATATGCAGTCCATTACAAATTAAAGTTGGGAGATATATTAATCGTATATATCTGATTAAACATCTGAAAAACCCTGACCTAATAATCTGGCTCAAGTAAACATTTAAGAAAATATAGGACACTGTGGACAGCGTCATCAACTAAGTCTTGTTCATCAGGACACCTTAGGATATTTTAGCAAGAAAATTTTGTGCACCAAATTTTCCTTGAGTCCTGTTGTCACCATGTTGTTGCCAGGTAACCAATGGAGACTACATAACATAAACCCGTGTAAAAACATTAAACAATTTGATGTAATGTGTAACTTAGTAACCTATAGGTGCTGGCAGATGGATTCTATTGTAGCTTTAGACAGAGCTAGCTTGTCCCCCTGCTTCCGGTCTTTATGCTAAGCTAAGCTAGCTACTCCAAGCTCAATTTTAAACACAGAGGTATCTCAGTGGGTTTGATTTTGCCTTCTTACTCCTGGAAAGAAAGGAAAGAAGTACACTTCACAAAATGTCAAATTAAATCAAGTAACAAAATATAACATTCTATTGGTCTGCAAAACACTTCAACTATTCTGGTGTCATGTCCTCACAAGTATAGTGATACAAGTGTAGGTGGATGGGTGAGTATGTTCAGTGTTGTTTTCTGGCTCTGGTCAGCTGTTTAGTATTATCTGTGAGTATTCAGGCCCCGTTTCTGGGTCCCATCACTTTTCAGCCATTGCATTCAAAAGATAGTCTAACCCCACATCCCAATCCCCACCTCCCAATTCTCCTTCTCTCCACCCATCTATCCATGCTACTATGCATTGTCTTCATCTGGAACTCATCCATCCCCATTCCCATCCCCATCCCAAACCTCTCCTCCCCATACCATTTCCCTCTGTACCCCAAATTAAATTATTTTCCTCCCCCTACCCTAACCCCCCTCTTTTACCCCACAAATCAAAATAATCACTCTACACCCTTCATGATGCCCCCTCCGAATCAAAAATCACCCGATTCCCCTCCTCCCTCACTATAATCAATCCTTCACCCCCCCCAAACCCTTCCTCCCACCTCTGTCCATCCCACCAACCATCCACCCCAACATCCATCCCTCCATGTGTCCCTTCGTTGCGTCGCTGTAGCTGACAAACAGCAGGGAGGCTCCAGCGGGGTGGTGATAGCCGTGGTGGTGTGTGTTCTGCTGCTCCTGCTGCTGGTGGCCCTCATCTACTTCCTGAACAAGAAGAGCAAGCTGCCCTGCAGCAAGAAGGACAAGAAGGAAGTGTGAGTGGACAAGAGAGGAGTGAGGGAGGGAAGGGGGGACAGAAGGGATTAATGTTGACAGTAATTACCTCATGCGTCTCAATAACCACTTATTGGAAACAGCAATGTCTTCCTTTTGTTAGGATGTTCTTTGTGACAAAAATGACAAACAAACTCTTATGAATTAGATTCATTAGTGGTTCTATGAAAAACAATGATGATAAAACAAGTGAAGTAGGCTCAAGCTTGTAAATGGTCTTTTCATGACAATAAAGAGAGAAAAATGTGACTGAAAAATAGAAACTTCAATGTATCAAAGCATGAATGGTTAAATAAATCCACTAGAATTAAATGATGTGCACATTTCAAGCAGCTGAAAAAGCTCTCTAGAAAAAATGCCAATTTCTCTACAAGTATCAGAGTCAAATCATTACAAAGCTGTTCAATTTAACTTTCTGCCAACCGTCTTGATTGCTCCATTTCTAAAAATTCTGCCAAGCAACATGTGACTTATCCCTAATGGCTTCCCCATTTTTCGAAAAAGCCATGTATTGGTGGAACAATCAGTTGTTTGGGCTTTAATTTACCCAGTACTTCTGGCAAACATTGACATAATGTGTTCAGAATAGAAGGATCATTTAGTTTATGCATTGTTAATAATGCTTTATTTCTAATAATTAAATATAACCACTCATGCCTCTCATGGAGAACAATCTGTCATCAGACTCTTTGAGTGAGCTTCTCTATAAGAAGAGAGTTTCATTGTAGTGTGTTTTCATTTTTAGCAAGGATATCTCAAAAGGCAGAGAGATTTGGCAAACTAGAAACAGACTCCTAGAAGTGAAGCAATATCCAAGGCAACCCAGTGTTCATCTTTATGTCTTGATCCACCAGTTGGCTCATAACTTTTTACATCTTCCTTGTTCTTCCTTTTCTCATTTTAGGGCCAGTGGAGAGGTGAACAACGACATCGTGGTGGAGATGAAGACAGACAAAGCCAACGAAGAAGCCGGTCTCCTCAACAAGAGACCGCCAACAGAACAGGTTAGCAACAGTTATAACTGATTGACTATGGTGCTTTAACATGTGTGTGACTTAAATGTCACATATTATACTCCATTTCAAGCAAGTTAAAATATCATCTCTTTGAAGTTTCTTGCTAAAAATCCACTCTGATCCTGTATTTGATCATGCCTATAAACCCCTTTATTTCAGCCCTGCTCAGAACAGGCTGTTTCTGTGTCTGTAGCTTTAAATGCAAATAAGATGTCTCTGACCACGACCCTCTCTGGAAGGGCTTGGGTTGCTTGGGCTTTCTTGCAAAATGCCTTATTGTTTACGGTGAGAAGGCAGAACAAACACCTAGGTGAGGGAGTATCACCCACCTGGAGGAGGGGTTGCTGCCCTTTGTGATGTCATGAAGGGAAAATCTCCAAACGGCCTGTTTGTGCACACATTTTCTGAAAAGTGGAGCAGGTGAAAGACGGAGAGGATTGCCTTTCCTCACAATTGAGGGGTTTGTAAACAGACTAGGGACACATACTAATGTTAGAAAACATGGTAAAGCGTATATTGCTTAATATGTGACCTTTAAACTGTCTTTCACTTTGTAGTGCACAGTTATTGACTTGTTTCTATATTCATTTAAATGCCTCATGATGCTTTAGCCTGATTGTAATCAGGGACAAGTCAAAGACACTTCAAGCAGTAAGGATGTGGTGGTGAATAAAAACAAATTCACTCCTGATCTGAGGATGCATCTTAAACCCTTTTCACACATACGGAAATCTCCTGAAAAACTCTGGAGATTTGGCTACCCGGAGGTTCTTTAGGCTACGTGTGAACGCAAACAGCCGCATTTTTCTCGAATTTACCCGTAGTTTCTCCGGCCAGACCCCTAGTATTTTTTCCGCAGAATATCCGAGTGAGTTGATGTCTGAATGCGGCCGAATATACTCCGAAGATTTTCAATTCGAGCCAATGGGACCCGAGTGACGTTTATATAGTGACCGGCTAAAGTGTCTGCACGCGACCACTACGATCTCTGTGCACGTAATTAAACAGCTGCATTCTGTTTTCTGTTCGTCAGTATGTTGTTCTCCTCTCCATTGGACTACACATAGCATTGATATAAAGGCAAATATTCTCATTATAGCGTCGTGTAGCGGACTCTGTTGATTCGGCCGCTACTTCCGCGTTGTTTATTTATGTCACGTCTTACGTCGGGAAATCCCCCGCGCCCCCTCCCCTCTGACAGGGAAAGTCCCCCGCTGTGAGGAGCATATGTGAACGGCTAGTTCGGGAGAATCTCCGGAGAAGTCCTCCTGTAAATATCTAGATATTATCCGGAGTGCATATGTGAAAACGGCTTCACATAAAAAATAATTTTCTCGTTAGTCAGTGTTTGTTGTTTGTCGCATGCAGGCTCTAATAGCAGCAGATAGCAAGATACTCGGCCATATTCAAAGACTGCATTCATGTCATCTTGATTTTTTCTAACTTAGCTGGTAGATGTAGTAAAATGAAGTACATGTGAATTATCAGGAGGAGAAGACGCAAGCAATATAACATAAATGCACAATAAACTGATTTGTTGCAGCAGGACAAGCCTGGAAATGATCATGTAGACACAAACCCGCCTTCTAAGATCCTTCATGAGCGATAAGTTTGATGTAAAACCGAGCTTTACAGTGGGCAGAAATGTTTTTCAGATGAATCAGTCATGCTGATAGTTTGTCTCAAGTCAGTTTGAGTTCAAATGGAGCATGTTTCAAAAAGCTGTCCCTGCAGCCTAAATGACAGAGTGTGACAGCTGTACACAGTTATCTGAAAGTGTCCTCACAAATGTGTGCAACATTTCGCCAATAAATTTATGGAAGAGACAGATTTAATGTGAATGTAAAAGTCAGTTTAAGCAAGATTTGTTTCATGTGATTTCTAAAACTGCCGACAGCAAACTTCCTGACATTTCAGGATAGCAGAGAGACTGCAGACACATTTCACTTTGCTTTGAAAATGGATGAAAGAAGGAGATGTTAAAGTCGGCCTCTCCATATGCTACAAAGTGATGCTTCTTTCAAAAGATGTCATTAAAAAAATATCACTCTGTAAGCTGTCTTCTAAAAGGCTGCTGAGCTGCGAGCCATGGACAGTTTAAATTTTAACTGCAAAATTAAATCTTGGCTGTACATTTTTTACAACAGATTTATTTAGGAGAATATGTTAGTATACTAAGATATGGATGAAATGGCAATAGCTTCTGATGCTTACAGCTTCTAAAGCCAGCTGCAGAAGTATTTTAGTATTCTGTGATCAAATGTTTTATAACTTCTACATATCCCTTCTTCCATGCCAAATGTGAAAAGTGAACATCCATTCAGTTGCAGGAGGAAACAGCATTGTATGAAGCAGCCTGCATACCCCAGCAAGCTTCATTCAGTGTTATATAACACCTTTACTGTGTTAATTAGGTGTTTTCAGACCGAAGGAACTTTTTCATAGTTCTAGGAACTGTTGGAACGCTCCCCCTTTTTTATTGATTATGCACTGCAGGAACTATGAACTATTTTAGTTCCTAGAACGCCGTTTAGAGCAACCTTTTTAGCTCCTGCTTCAGAGTCGATACCGTGGTGGTGTGAATGTAGACAGAAAAGAAGTCCCCATGGTGTGTAGTTCTCAGGGAACTCCTTAGACAACCCCATAACTACATTTCTAGCCTGGTAGGGTTTGGTGGAAACTCACATAGTTCTTAAAAATGTACATAGTTCTGGGGGATAGTTCCTCCAGTGGAAACAGGGCTATAGTTCCTCTTCAAAAAGTCAAAAGAACTGTTTGGTCTGAAAACACCTTTTGTTCTTATTTTAAAGCTAAACCACTCTACAATGCAAATGGTGACCTACTGTTAATTATCTGCTTCGAGCAGGGAGTCGAACGATTGCAATACACAATGAATGAGGGCGAATTTTGATCGACATGCCCCCACACAGTCCTGAGAAATGATCTAAGCTGCAGAATAAGCTGTTTTTGAACGAGGTTTTCTGATAGTTATTAATGTTTATTTTTACTTAGAGTTTTGTAGATGCTTAATGATGAATTACATTTTGAAATCACATACGGATTTTTAAATTTCAAGGCAGGTTTCCATGGGCTGTGAACACAAGTGTGTGGAAGGCATGTTTTTATCAAGTTAAATATTATTCTTTATTGGATGTGCTTTGGAGAATGATTGAACCATGAATGCATACTTTTTTCTAAAAATAATATATCCAAAAATATTGGAGTCATGAACATCATTTAGCAGGTTTAGACATTTCTAATGGTTCTCTAATATTCTAATCAGTCACTACTGATTCATCTCTAATATCCTGCATATTTATATTGTTTTTGTGTTTTTTCTTCTCCTCTCTCTCACAGTGATGAAACAGGACAATGACAGAAAGCGACAGAGGGATGAAGGGAAGGAGGAGGACCATTATGAAGACAACAGGGCTATTTCTTATTTTGCTACACTAGACTGAAGGGGGGCAACAAGATGTGGAGCTTGGAGTTGGGGGTTTGTTATGTTAAGGGAGGGTGGGGGCACCATGTTTGGCATTGGTGTGCTTGTTTAATAACCTGTGGTAGACCTTCTTGGATGGAGTTTCTTTCCTTTTCCTTAAAGCTAAATTTACCATTAAAGATGAAAGTCCATCCATCAACGCTACCACAGGTTTAAAACCATACATGTGCAAAATGTGACAACACTGGATGCTGACATAATCATCTTTTATTCACCTAACACATCTTTGGTTGACTCCTCTGCAGAGTAGAACTGTACAGCGAGGTGTGTATGACACGATCCAAACACAGTGGCAGAATCTCTCTTATCTACCCCAAATGAAACACAAAATGCCATTAAGCCACTGTGTATATCGGGAGCGTGTGTGTACGTGTAAACATGACACAGAACCTCTACTCTGTCTGGGAGTCCGCACTTATATTCTGTGCTCTCTGTCGGGTATATTGGGATAAATTATCACGCGCTGCCATTCGGTTTTAAACACATCAGTAAAACATGATGATGATTTACGCTTTTAGCATTAAATCCCTTCAGCACACTGTTTGGCACACATTGCTGTAAACATTTTCACTCAAAGAAGCTCTGTGTTCGCTTTAGCGCTGTGTGTTTAATTACATTTTTTGCCACCTGTGAATGTTTATGTTCTTTTCATTTTCCAATATCCCTAATTAGCTTTCTGCAGAAACAGCCCAGGCTTTTATTAACGCCAATCTCTCCTCTAAGATTGCTTGCCTTTTTAAATCCAGCTAAAACGACTTCCAACGAGCAAGCTATTAGGTTGTACAAATTTGTTTTTGCCATTTCCAGCACACATGTATATTATGTCAGTACATTCACTTGTTTTCTTTTTTTTCCTCTGTGTGCTCTTGTTTTTCTCTGTAAATTCAAATACTGATTACCCTGTCTATCAAGCGTGCTAATGTGGAGCTCAGATTGTCTGTTGTAACTACGCTGCTGGCGTTGGACTGTGATTGCCACCACTTTTTCACAAGTCTTTTGCAGCCTTTCAGTCTCTTCTGTGGTTGAAACCAGTCCCCCGGCAAGCAGCAGCAGCTATGCTCAGAAGGCCAATTATCATCAACTTTCACTTTAAAGTAGGTAGAATTGGGCATAACGGTCGACAATCACAAACTGTAGCCTGCTGTGTTGTTCTTTTCGCATGACGGCAAAATGAGACCTTCATGGTACGCGGCGTAGATCTCACAGATTCACCTGAAGAAGAAATCCCTGGCATTGGTTCACACTGGTTTGATCGAGCAGTGAATGGGAAGGTGTGGGAGGGATCTGGGGGTTATTGCTGGAGAATCTGATGTACTTTTTATTTTTACCAAATGAAAGTTTTGAGTGTCACAGCAGGAATGTTTCTGTGTTTAGGTACGCAATACTGGTGTTTTCTGTTTTCTGCTCTTACACTGTCCACGCCAGAGAGCTCTGATAGCGGGTTGACGTGCCCTTTTTGAACTTCGTTGAACACTGGAACCAATGGCCTTGATCTTTGTTAGAGGTCACCTCAAACCACTATCGCTTCCGAAAAGGCTCGTTTTTATTTTATTTTTTTAATGTCTGTCTACTGATTTTGCCATATTGACTGTTAGCAAACCTGGTGAAGATAGATAAGTGAATTTGGAGCATTCTTTTTTTATGTTTTATATATAAGATAACTTGTTTTTTTTTTTAGGGAGGGGATTCTTTTATTTTGGAACTACTGAGTTTTCTTTTTTTTTCCCATGCTTTTTCACTCGCTCTGAGAGAAGAGAGATTTTTTTTTCCTTTCGGATTTTGTAATAAGAAATTCTCAGTGCTTTTGACTTTTTTCTCTCTCTGTGCTGTATGCTGTATATTTTGTGGTACGCTGTTGTGAATTCTGTGGTGTGTTGATGTATCTTTTTTTTTGTTCCAGCTGTGTAGAATTTATAATGAAAAAAACCCCAAGAAAACCAATCACAACCCTGTATTCTGTGTTTTCACTCCAATTTTTTTTTTTTGCAATAGGCAATTTTTCAAAAGCCACTTAACAATTTTTCTTTTTTTGCGAGATCACCGTTATGTTTTGTCATTATCCTTAATGGGACTAGATTTGTTTTGAAATTTGCTGCGTTTGTGGAGACAACGTTGTATGGAAGCAAGAAAGTGTGCTATCTCCTACGATAAGGCTACTAAAACACTTACTCACCACTGAACATTATCTCTAAAAACTTCAAACTCCAGACCAAAAAGCGAAAAAAAATCAGACATCAAATTGGTTTTGATGTAATTCTCGCTTGTGTGCTTTTTTCTTCAGTTCCTAGAAGATGACATCTAACTGATTCCGAGTTTGCAGCAAAGTTTAATCTCTTTGATATCACCAGCGTTATGCAAATTCCCCCTCACATTGATTGATCCTCTCATTTGTTGTGACAGAACTGAGAAATCGAGGAAGCTCATGTTTTGCATCGATAACTGCTTAAGGGATCGGCTCACTGCCAACTTCACTTTCACTTTTAGAAATGAGCTGAAATGGAGCTATCAATCATCTGCAAACCGCTGTGTGGCTCTGTGCATAGATCAGTAAAAGTAAGTGGGATGACTCTTATTGATGCCAGTCATAATCATAATTGTTCATTTGCAAATTCATGAATCAAAATCAAACATTAATCAAGAGAACGGCAAAATACTTCCTCTAAAAATCTAAATGACCCTGCTTCATTCCCCACATCAAGTCTTCCCTCTTCTGTTATAGTTTACATAACAATATGTTCAGTATGTGACAATTAAAGCCCTACACCATGCACATACACAGGCTCTCTGGTTACGGGCCTATCAGCGACATTGCTCCTCCACACGCCCCTTTGCGCTGAAGACTCTCCATTAGGAAATTAAAGTCTCCCATCAATGTGACCTGGAGAAATCAATCTGTGCTCTGAATACAAACAAGCAAAGACATACACAAGCACTTAAGAGTGTATAGGCAGATGAAGGCAATTTATGTAAAGTATAAATTACAGAGTCAGTTCCGTCTCCTTCTTATGTGATTGAGCTGAGGATAAAATGTGAGCTTCTACAGAGGTTTTCAGAACCTGAAATCAAAGCTTTATGCGTTTGCTGTTTCACATGTTTTCCATACAAGGAAAAATGTACACTGATTTTCTACCAAAGAAATGTAGTACGCAAATATCAATGAGATAATAGATATGTACATGAAAAATGTAGCACTGTACACACAATGCACACACAAAAATGGAAATCACTTCAAATTACTTGAATAGATACATTTAATTACTTGATTGATAAAGACAACAAAAACATACTTAAAGGAATAAACATCCCTTTTATTTACTCTTGTTAATTCACTATTTGAGTTAGGACTTCCTCTAACTTTCTTGAGAGCCTTAAACAAGGCATCGGTTGAATTACCAATTGCACCTTCATGTACTTTGATCTATAGACAGTTAAAGTCATTAGAGAAAAAATGAGAAGAAATACCTCGCTTATGGGTGGATTTCATTTTAACATCTAGCAGACCGAAAAGAAGCTCCTCTGAGATTTGGTACCGACAGCAGAATGATCATTTGTAAGGAATATGAATAACTTGGCCTAGATCAGACGACCCATCTGCTAGTCCAGAATACAAATACTTTGGGACTCTGTGATTTAAATTAGCCAAATATTTCAAGAAGGACTACAGGCTAATGTTTTGACTCGACAACAGCCATCCAAATGTCAGGGAAAGTAGTCATTTGATTTACTTTAATTTCCCAGTACTTCCTGGTGTCTGTTGCCAATATGTCTGAGGAAGCACAGAAGACAACAAGGTAGGCCTGTATTGTGTTTACTTCATCATTTAAAATTGCCATGTTTGTACAGTTACCTGTGATAGATTATAAATTGGGCTACTCATTGTATTGCGTAACAATAAACAAATGAGGCATAATGGTTTCACAGGCTGTTCTCATGATGGATTAACATTGGGTGTTTGTAGCAATGAGTACAGCCTTTTACCTGCTCTTTTGTAACATAATAATGAGTAAGGTCTTTTACCTGCCCTTTTTTAAAGTGACTTGCGATAACATTTGTCATTAATTGGCGCGATAGAAATAAAGATTGATTCATTGAAGCTGAAAGTTGTGACAGTGTTCACCATCAGCTCGCTTAGCCATATAGTAACTGCACATTACAGAAGTCTGATCCTTGTAAATAATGTTAGCCAGCAAACTAGATTAATAAAAAATGTGGCCGCAACTCAGGTAATTTATAGTTGTATGCTCTTTTTTTCACTTTTCTTTGAAGCTAGCTGTTGAACTGAACCTTACCCTCTTGTGCTAAGCTAACTAGCAAGATCATAATTTAATTGTTCCCTTTCTAACTTGTAATCAAATTAATCCTAGTAAGAAATTCATCACTTCCAAACACAGTCTGCGACATGCTAAAATGTAGGGAAACTGTCAGTATAAGTAAGGATATAGTAATCGAAAGTTTGCTAACATTCGCCACCTTATATGCTAGCAGGCAAACCAGGGCTGTGGCATCAAAGCCCAAAAGTCGGGATTTAAGAGGGTTTGGGTGTTGATAAAATAAGTTTTTGAGTCTATGCATAAGTTTGGCTTAACTGTTAAGCTTGGTAATAATTATATAAATGTTTGAAAGATAATCAGCAGTACAGTAAAACCCGGCTTTCATTTTTAGATATGGATTAAGATTATGCTGAGAAAGTGTCTGTTTTGCAGATTGTGTGTGTGTTTGTGTGATCCTCTCGTTTTGTTTTCCAAAGAAAGAGGGGATCAGAGCTTCTCAGTCTCGCTAACAATGAGGGCGGATTACTGTCATTCCTCCCAGTGTCCTCTTCCCTTCCTTTCTCCTGCTTTCCTCTGCCCCCTGTGAGTTTCCCTGCTGCCTCTTCTGGGTTTAGTTACAGTAGCTTTAAACTGATTTAGCCATTTAGTGTCAGCCTATTGAGGGATGACAGCCACTGTCTGTCCCTTCTGCCTGCACGACCCGGATCTGATGGCTACTCAGGAGCGCTTGCATTCAGTATACAGAGATAGGGAGAGAAATGGAGAAACATTATCTCGTACGGGGAGCTGTTAAGATGAATCAAGGTTGAATAAGGCTTTAGTGGCAGCCTCCGTGACATTATATGCCTCATCTTCCTACATAATCAGCGCACACACAAAGTTGGCACACACGACCCCAAGCGCAGTGGGGCCAAAAGAAGACCTGCTTGGACTTTCAGACTAATGGAAAGCTTGTGTCAAGGGAGGCCAGGAAGGAAGAAAATAATTGATAGAGCTTAGGAAGAAAAAGGGAAACGACGGATGGAGTTTAGCGAAAATGCATTTAAAGGAGGGATGCGGAGGGGAGTAAATTGACAGAGGAGATAGATGTAGCTCAGAAGCGTCGCGATGGGAGGAAATGAAAGTCGTGATTAGTGGTGAAGGACGTAAACAGAAGATGGCTTGTTAAGATGTCGTAAATCTGCATTTGCTCTTAACAAAGACTTGCTCTGAGGAAATAAAACTGCTGATAAAGGGAGGAAGAAGAAGAAGGTATAAAGAAAGTGTACTGAGATAAAGAATAAAATAAGGCTTAGGTTTAATATCCTGTGTGGCCTGAGTGTGTTTACTGTGTGGGTGCGATCACGAGAGACAGAACGGAGAGATGGTACCAGTGATCAATAGGTGTGTATGTGTTGCATCAACCTGCAGCCCTGCATTTATTTGCTGAATTTCTGATGTCTATCTCGCAGCATGGAAGATTTGTTTCATCGATTGTATCAGCGAGTGTGCTATTAAGCCGAGTGTGGGCCGATCCCCCGCCGCCGAAGCGCCAACGAGTGTGTGGGGCGAGAGAGACTACCTGTGGGATGTTTAGTTATTAAGGCACAGCTTGGCGCGCTTTAATTTTAATTGGTTATGCTACTTTGTGTTGTGTCTTGTGGAATCTAGAGACGGGAGATTAAATTTCCTGCTGGGTTTATGAGCTTAACAGTGTTTAAACAAAAAACAATAACCACTCAGCATTGATGTGTAGAATATAAAATGTGATAGCAGACTCAGAGCTGTATTTATGTGCTGCACTCCCTCAGGGCTCGTCTAAATGAATGGAATGATGTGGTGTGTGTGTGTGAGTCAATCCACAAGGGTCAGAGGCCGTTACATTTTCTGTGACAGGCTGCGGTCAACTCCAAGATTCAGTTAAACCATTAAGAGCACAAGGTCAGTACTATTTTTAACCGCAACCGTGCAAACACTGAATCCAATAATGCTGCAACAAAGCATGTTATCGGGCTGTCCTTACCTTGAAGTCAAATGTAAAACAACAATGTGCAGGGTTGCAGAAGAAAACATAATGGCTCTTCAACATCATGGGGACCAGGTGTTTTGTTTTTATTTTACAATTCTAATGTCTTTCAACTGCTGCGATAAAAGTGTAAGTATCACACAAACAAGACGAATAGCAGTGTGTGTTTACATACTTATGTAACTCAGTGTTTCCCCTACCATTATATTAGCGGGGCGGCCGCCCCCCTTGAAGGTCAAGTAATTTTTTTTTTTAAGATTTATTTTTGGGCTTTTTGTGCCTTTATTGTAGGTATAGGATAGTGGATATAGTCGGAAATCAGGGAGAGAAGTCATTTAAGGATACCTTTCCGATAGAAAAGGACAGCTGTCATTAAAAGTAACACATGAACACCAAGATTCACACCAAGTGTTCATGTTGGTGTGTCGGCGTGCCCCCCCCCCCCCAATGCTGTAAACCTAGGGGAAACACTGTAAAACCTGTAAACTGTCTGCTTAGAAAACCTACTGTCACAATTCAATTCTCCAATTCATATAGCAGATGCTTTAATTCAAATTGACATACATCAGTACAACAAGTACAACACAAGAAAGGATCTAGAAAGGAGGATGCAATGTCAGCCGTCTTTTGTCAGCGTCATTATCAAACAAACCCATCATCCTTATCATCAATATCA